CTTTAAATATCTCGAAACAAGAGTTATATGACTTAGACCACTTTCATAATTACAGACACATATATATTATAGTTAAAATATATAATTCAATTAATTCATCAAATAACTTAAAGAGTTATACTTAATTGTGTGACCAAAAAACGCGTTTTTTTACGAATATTTTCTGGAAAGGCGTTCTATTTGAATAATACAAGATTTATTAATACAATTAGTGACGTTTTTAAATTTTATATTGGCACTTTTAATTAAAAAAAAATATTGAGTTACACTGCTCCCCTTTAGACGATCTTCTGGAGGCTTTCCAAAAACAGGTGTCCTTCGGTGAACACGATATCTCCGATTTGGATTAATTAAAAGTAAAAAATAAAAAAGATTCTATTAGTGGACAGATGAATGTAGATAGTATTTTTGATTTTTGACAAAATACCTGCTCCTAAAACAAAAATGTTCGATTTCCGACCAAAATTTCTTCGTAAAATTGTTTAAAAATATAGAAACAATAATCGGAAATCTTATTCCTTCGATTAATACTTGAAGAATATATTTGAGAAGGTTATGTTAAATTTTGAAACCGATCGGTTGAGCAGTTTTTGAGAAATCGTGCTCACAGACTTTGAAAAAACCTTTTTTCAATATAAACGCGAAGTTTCAAAAGAAAAGTTTACACATAGTTAAAAAGTATTTTTGTTCAGCTTACACTTAGTGAAGAATATTTACCGGATCAATTAGAAATTTTCAGAGAATATATCCAAATACATAATATGTACATTCCGAAAATACAAAATAGAAAAAATCAGATTTTTTGAAATTTCTAATAGAAAAGCGTATAAAAAGAATTTTATTATACATTTAAACTAATTGTTTGATGACATAACTAAGTAAAAAATGTATTCCCGAAAAGCGAATAATCGAATCATGATTTTGTTGTTTTTTTGAATTTAATTCGTTTATTAAAATCAACTTTTCTTTTAACAACAATCCTCGTAGTTATTCGTTCTTATCTTTTCATGTATCATGTACTTACAAATTTGTAAAGAATTCTTATGAGATCGAAGAAGTAAAAAATATTTAAATATCAGATAAGTGTGTATGTAATACGTGTGTGTGTGTATATATTAATCTGAAAGAAATGTTATCTCAGGCCTCCTTCATTTCTATTTTTACATATCCTCTCTATGGTCTGTACCTTTCATCGTCATCGTAATTCTCCAGGGTCACGCCCTATCGATTAATTCTCCTAGTGCCTCCTTTAAGAAAACTTTTTGCAATTTTTAAGTAACGTCTATGATTTATATCTACAAACTTTTCGAAGAAACTTTCAAACCAATCGTTTCATTAAACTTCTCAATAATTACGTTTACTTTAACGACGTATTATCGATGGAACATCCCATGGTTTTTATCGATAACAAGACTACGTAATAAAGTAAAAAAGTATTATTGTTGTACAGATATTTTTATACAATTTATATCCGTCAACTGTAAACAAAAATAAACTTAGTTTATCAAAATTTTGATTAGAGAATGAATAAAATAAGAAAAAGAGAAAAATTTGTGTTTTATTTGAAGAATTATTGAAATTTTGCAAATATCAATTAAAATTGATCACAAAAGCTGAAGAAATTTAAGGGATTTTTTAAGTTTTATACGCGACGAACAATTCTGTTTAATTTAAAAATATATTCTTTATTTCCAATGATAGTTATTTATATCCCGAGTAAACCTTGGAAAGTAATTACGTGATTTGAAGAAAACCAATCTGTTTAAAATCGCGACAATATCAAACAATATATATTTCTTTAAGTTTGTTAAAAGATAAATTATTTAAAATGTTATTAATATCGAAAAACATGACAAAATTATTCCGAGATTCTTAGAAAATTAATCTTCTTATAATTCATAATAACAAATAGTATTATCTGAGATATATAAAAAAAAATATGCAGAGATTTTAGAGCAATTATATTTACTTTTAAAAAAGTATTCTTAGTACCGAATGTATAGTTAAATATCAATATTCCGAGGAACCTTGAAAAGTAATATCTAAACTCACAGAAAATTAATCAGCTTAAAATCGATAATAAGAACACAAGTATGATTAAGTTTATGAAAAAATGAATAAATCAAAGGCACTTCTAAGTTTTGGTGTGAACAACAATTATTTTTATTTTTGAAATATATATCCTTCATTCCTAAATGATAATTATTGATACCCCAAGGAACCTTGGAAAATAAAATATTCAAATTCTTAGAAAATATTAATCAGCTTAAAATCAATAATAAGTAGGTAAAGGTATATTAATGAAGTTTCTAAAAAGATAAAGAAATCGAACTTCCCTTTAAGTTTTACACGACGAATATGATTTACTTTCTAAAACATTATATATATTTGAAAAACTAAATAAAATCTATTCATTTTAAAAACATATTCCTAGTATTAAATGACGTACAATTATCAATACCACGATAAACCTTGGAAAAGTAAAACCTAACAGATTCTTAGAAAATTAATCAGCTTAAAATCGATAATGAGAACAGTTATAAACAGATGATTCATTAAAATATAATCAAAACAAATTTCCGTTGTACAATTTTATACAACGAATAATAATAATAACAATAATAATATTTACTTTTAAAAATGTATTCGATACTATGTAGTTATCGATATACCGAATAAACATTGAAAACTAAATTATCCCATATTCTTAAAAAATTTAATCGAGAGAGAGAGAGAGAGAGAGAGAAACTATAAGAAAATGATGAAAATTAAATGAAATAAAAATATAATTATAAAATCGATCGAAGGGTAAATAAAGATGATCGAAGTTAAGTCAAAGTTTCTTAAAAAAGTAAGAAAGAAAGTGCAAGGTACTGTAAGAACAGCATGAGGAACTTAACAGTACAGTATTATCGATCTTTTAGTTTGTGGTCAAGCTGGTAGTGGCTACTCGAGACGTTTAAGACTAAAATGGTGTTGCTTAAGGGGATGCCGGTCGAAAATGATCGCGTGACTGTTGTTAGGCTCGGCCAGCATTGCTACCACCACCACCACCACCATTACAACAATAACCAACCACCACCACTACCACTACCACTAACAGCAACACAACAATAACCAACCACCACTACTATCACTACCACAAACAGCAACACAACAATAACCAACCACCACCACTACCACTACCACTAACAGCAACACAACAACAACCAACCACTACCACAACCACACCACCACCACCACTAATAAAACCTATCAAACATTATTCCTCCCTCGTCCTTCATCCATCGTCCTCGAATCCTTCCTCCAATGATCGCGACTTTTACAAAGTTCCAATGAGTACTGCGGTAGCCGCAATTTGCGAGTGGTTCGACGATTGCGAAGATGGTCACCGGGTGCCCACTTATTTTCAACGGTCACCATACGACAAAATTCCAAACTGATTACCATCGAGAATTCCAAATCGATTTTCGTTCCTCGTGAGTGTTCTCCTTCGATCGGTTTTTAACACATTATTTACACTCGTTCCAATTCAAATTAATCTAATTATCAACATTGTGCGTTATTATTATTTTTCAGTGTTTATTTATTAAAATCAAATGATAACCATCGTGATTAGAATTATTTCATCAATTAATACGTCAAATATATGTTTTTAGTGTTATAACAATCGATTTTATATACGGTAACGTATTTCGTTATGATGATTAATTTATTTTTATCCAATCCGATATCTGGTAATATCAATTATTTTTAATCTATTATTTAATCAAACCATTAAGAAAACAAAAACAAAAAACAACACGAAATAAAATATAACCAAATGTTCAATAACGTTTGTTCGAGAGATTTTTCCAATTCCGTATAATTTACTCGAAACATTTTTTAAACCATCTACATTATTCTTCGTACGAACGAATGAAATTTATTCGGAAAGATCTACTAGTGTCGTATTTTTAAAGGAATTCATGAAGAAATGAATTACCCTAAGGCAAAAGACACTCTCAGACATAGTTGACGTTAATTATGTATATATACACACACATATATATATATATGTACATCAAATCTTGAGTTAAGTAGGAAACGTCAATTTAGTAGACTTCTATATGTTAGCCCATCCTTCAGTCGAGTTAACGAGCTGTTGTTTGAGGGTGCTTAATAATTTTAAAAGCTTCATAGGACCGCACCTTTTTATTTTTTGTTGCGCAGGGCGTTGCAGACACAACCAGGTGAAATTACATTGGATGAAGATAGACCAAGAAGTGTCGACAAGCCCTTCAGTCGATGGAGAAAGACCTTGGGCCGTTATTACGAACGTTTTCCTAGTATGAGGTGTCTAGCTTGTCGGCGTAATTCAAAGATCATCTCGTGGTCGAAAAAGAGGGAAACAGCTGCTATGGGAAACCGAATGGAAATCAGAGAAAACATTGACAATGATACACCATCGATCGATTGTTGGTCCAAATTTAAAAAAAGATGCAGGTAACTGAAGATTACATTATTTTTTCTGTTGTTAATTACAATTTTTAATCAATTTTCTTTTCATACGTATTATAATAATTTACGTGTTTCTCAAATAATTAATTGAATTATTCGAATTTTTGTATTTGAAATTTTATTTTTTCATAATTTCAATGTATAATTTTATTTCTTTTTCTTCTACCCCCCCCCTCCCACCCCCAACTCCCCGTTTCAAGATGTCTACGTCCCAAGGGAATTAAATGTTGTACAAGAAGAGACAGAGTAGCACCGGACGAGCCTAATCTCTGTTGTCCTCCTGAGAGAAGATTATCCGCCCTTTGCCGACGACTTTTTGCCAGCTGTAAATGTAAATGTGCGGATGTACAACGCACAAGAGATATACGTGCCAAGCACAGTCTGACCAGCGTCGCACCACCACCACTTTCCGAGGTAACAGTAATCATTTTTTCGGTTTTAACAAAATACAATCATAATTCGTTTATATTGGTATCTATATTAAAAAAAACTTTTGTCCTATTTCTTTAAGGGGCACACCTAGTGTGACCGCCTAAAAAAAAAAGGTGACTTTTAGGAATTTTTTGAAAGAAAACTACTGCATGATATATTTTAAAATTTAGAGAATATATTTATACATAATTAACGAATAATCATTAAAATTTTCAAATGAAAAAAGATAATTTTCAACGAGTTATTCGCTATCTCCCAAGTCACTAAAAAAAAAGGGCTTAAACGGCTGCAGTGATTCCGGCCTTCACCGTGGATGAAATAAAAAAAAAAAATACTGTTAATCTAGAAGGTATTGCCTATACAATGACCTAAAATTGTGAAAAAAAATTGAAATTTAACAAAATGGCAGACTTTTGAAAAAAAATAATCGAATTTTGCTCAAAATTTTGATGATTTTTGGCCCGCCAAAATTACATTTTTTATACAATCGAAAAACTTTTAGGTCATTGTACAAAGAAACATATACGAAACAAGCAGAAAAAAAATCAAAGCGATCGGACGATTCTTCTTCGAGTTACAACTGCAGCCAATTTGAAAAATGTAGTTTTGAGAAATCCCTGAGCGGCTACTCTTTAGAAGGCTGTAACTCTAAAACTATTTGAAATATTTATTTAAAATTTCATTATGTTATTTTTAAAGATATAGACTATCAAAATATGCAAGAAAAAAAAATAAATTTTGTCAAAATTTCACACTAGGTGTGCCCCTTAAATAATTATCACTTTCATTTGTATTAAAAATATACAATTAGTATTCTTCATTCAATTTAATGTGATGAAATATTTAATTATGAAAATTAAATGGATAGAATTTTTTTTCGATAGATCTTAACACTTTCGTAAAAGTTTCAGCGAGGAGAAAAAAACTGTGACACAGTTATTTTAATTTGAAATTAATTGTGATATCGAAAATTTGATTAAACACATTATATATAAGGGCAGTTAAATTATCATATAAGTAAAGAATCAGTTAATCATTAACTTTACAGGTATAATAATTATAAAAATTTAAGGTTATGTAAAATAAAATTCAAAATAATTGTCTTTAAAATTTATCCGCGAACGTGTTAACATATATTTAATAGATGTTTAAATTGGAAATAACATTTAATCGGTATTTATTTATAATTGTGTTGTCAAAATAAAATTATGTCGAGCTGTACTCATCAAACACAGTTAACTAATGGTTGATATAAAATTTGACAGAAAATTTATCTTTTTCGCGCATATATTTAACAAAATCTAACATCAAAATAATTTAATAATAATACAATAATTTTCTCG